AGGTTGATAAATGTAACTGGTATTAGTCGATTTGTTTTAAAACAATGGAAATTTCGAAACATTCTTTCATGTTGGCATAATATAACCGAATGACAAAAACCATTGTGTGGAACAAACAAAAATCTGCTTCATTTCACATGTCAATCTCTCGCCTAATAAAATACGTCGCTAGCATCACAAACCTAACTTGCTGGAAGGACTAACATGAGCATGATAAAACAAAAACGTGATATGGGAATGAGGAATTGGAATGTATCCCTAACAGATGTGACTCAAATTCCCGGCTCCAATTAATTCAGTATCATAACGTCATTCGGTTCGCTTCGCTAAACTAAGACAAAAGATGTTAATGTCCAATGTTATTTCGTAAGCGATTTTTTCAAAGCCTTATTGTGCGTTCAGCTTTATATAGAAGACCCAGATTAACTTCGAATATTAAAACTACGTAAACAGAAGTTGTTAAAAGTCGCTAATAAATTTTGCCCTGTACCATAGAGTGATTTAGAGTCGGCATCAATGACGGGCATCATGACAAGGATACCGATATTTGTAATGTTTAAAAACATGAGCCACACAAAGAAGCATCATTCAATCTCAACGACTTTTCATACCGCTTACTGTTTCTGTTGTGCCGTTCTAAATATAATAAAAACAAAAAAAAAAGAGTTTTTAATAATACCATGTATATGCATGGCTAGTCGCATTCATAGTTTGTATTTTTAAGTAGATTAAAAATCGGTGCCAAAGGTTTGAGAAATAATGTTTTTTCATCGCGATAAACACATCGCATTCAAGAATGCCATGGACCGTCTTCTTACGCGTCTGCTGGTGGTGACTAGATGAACAGGACTCGGATAGTGCAGACGTGCAATTGCAAGGATTTTCGCTTTTCGCTTTTCGCTTTTCGTTGCTTTGTGTTGTTTTGTTTCGCTTATAACTCAAAAGACCAGATTTCATCGAAACCCTGAAACAACCTCTCGGCTGATCAAAGTTAAAACACGATTAACTCTGTTAGATTTAGTCTGTAGGTTTTACAGAGGATTCGATCGAAGGAAAACTTGGGAACCATAAAAATAGCCTTGTCTACATTTTCTGGAGCTATAATCTTCTACGCTTGTTTCACATGAGTACAAGAGCTTTAAGTCTGAAAATTTGAACTTCTTTTTAAAATCATGAATAAGTTAGATCTTAAAAAAAAAAAAAAAAAAAAAAAAAAAAAAAAAAAAAAAAAAAAAAAAAAAAAAAAAAAAAGGCAGATCGAAGTTTTATCTTTATGTCGCACTTAGTAAGGAAGGGAATTTCAACTGAAATTAAATTTGGGATCTTCAATCAAACAGTGGTTTTGCCAGAAATTTGGGGCTCAGATAGCTTCTATTATGATGAATATAAAAAACGTTTTGTATTGTTTGTGCCAGCTTTTTAGCATAAAACTGAAATATATAACTACCACCGTGACCAATACACACAGCAGAGTTGAATTTGTAAATATGCTTTTCAAAACTTACCTGTTGCTGCTTTGGATTTATTAAATTCATTTAGAAGATCGATGTAAAAGGATCCAAAAATGTTATGAGTTCCGATTACTATGAACTGTTGAATGAACGACGAAAACACGATAAGCCAGCTCAGCCCTCCATCAAGCTTGCCTCGTACGTGACATCTAATATCTCTGCAAGTAGGCATCTTCGACTCCATCAACTTTTCCTGTGTAAATAAGAAAGTTTGAACTGAGAATGTTATTCAAACAACGGTGATTGATCGATGTCTAAATTACGAAACATTGTGTGTGTTAGGTAGCAAGCGAAACAACAAGCAGAAATCGTTATTATATAAGTCACGTCGCAAACCGCATAAAAAATATAATAGAAGCATTTACAATAACGGTTGCAGCGTCCAAAAAATTCCGATGAAAAATCCTTATTCGAAATTCAGAAGTTAACTAGTTAAAATTGAATAYCTTACCGGGATTTCAGGAGAGCATATTTTCTTTGCGAATTAAAGCTATGTGACTGTTCATGGATGGCAACTATATTTACTCCGACACCAAACATTTCGTTTCAATTGTTATGTTTAACCAGAAATCCAGTTTTACCTGTTATGCATCAAGGATGAACGATTGGCAGAAACAAATGAGATCATTCTAATTATACGTACAGATCGACACACACAAAAAAATAAATCCTTATTTCAACACATTCTATTTACTTTATGTATTTTAGTATTACTTAGGAATGGTTTGAGACGTAAATTCAACATTTTTGATTCAGAATCTTGAAGTAAATGATATGCAAATTATTCCCTTAAAATTCTTCTAGCAGGAAAAGTTCTGTTTTCTATCGTTTTTAATATAGAAATTATTTTCTGAGGGGTCCGTCTTAAAAAAATAGCAAGAAGAGATCAGAAAGTAGTACCCACAGTCCTATGCACCACAAGTTGTTTAAAACCAGTTTTCCTTTGGGGTTTGCAAAGGTGAATGCAGCTTTAACAATTCAGCTCTGAGTCGTTACCTTGTTCTTCTTTAGTTCTAGTTCTTGCTCTCTTCCCATCACTCCTTTCTGTGATAATGTTGATGAGTAAATTAATTAGTATCAACATGATAATAATATTCAATCTTAGTCATTCCGAGGTTGAGAGCGAAACTGGGTAGAGTTGGGACTGCGCTTCATTTTGGGACGACTGTTTTAGGAGCTAATTTAGAAGGTAGCGTCTATTTCGTGCCCTAAAATAGTCTCATAATGCACTACAAATGCCAACTTATCCCAGTTTTTCTCTCAACCTCGTAATGGATAATAATGGTGTGCTTTGACCCATTGGGAGCAATCAAAAATCCTGTTTGTCGTTCGTGCAAGGTCAATAGACCTATCCCGAATTTGCTTGACTGACCACGAAACAATGGTTTGAAGTCGAGATTGAACTTGATTCTCTTATTCATCAAGTTCAACCTCGACTTGAAACCAAAGCCCATCAATCTACCCATGTGATGTTATTATTTAAAACAGATAATTTGTGATGTACATTAAACGCGAATTCCAACAGGAAGCCGGCATAGAGGTGGTCTTCTAAAATTTAACCCCAGTTCCTGTTTTCTGCTTTTGATTTAGAATATTGATTATTAGTCATCTGTTATCTTGCTTGTACCTTGAGCTTATTGACCCCTAGCGTAGGGGTCAGGTTTTCGCTGCAATAACTAAGTTCTTGGGAGGCATATTTAGAAGGCAGCATCTTCATTGTGCTGCCAATGCAACAAAAAACTCATAGAATTGCAATAAAATTTTGCAACGCGGAATTGTTTTTGCAATGTATATCGTCGGGTAGCATAAAACAACTATACGGGCCAAAACGAAATTAGTATGTCTTTTTAAAAGAATCGATACTTTGAATCAATAAAAATGCATGACTCCTGTCTCTGTAAAGCTTTCCATTAAGCCGCACGCATTTTCATGGAGTCACGCATTTTCATGGAGTCACGCATTTTCATGGAGTCACGCATCTTCATGGAGTTAAGCATGTTCAGTAAGTCAAAGTATCGAGTCTTTTCTATAAAAAATACTAATTTCATTTTGACCCGTGATTTGTCCTCCAAGTTCAAGCAGAGAGAACATTATATGAGTGAATTAGGAAATGCATTTAAAATTGAGCCTATTCGTGCGTCTCGCAACATTTCCAGCTGTAAAATTTTGTTTAATGCTGCCTGACGATATCATCTGCACATGAATTTACATGATTGTAACAATAATATACTTTGTAAGTCAAAATGGTTTTAGTACTGATGACTGCTCTAATGAAAATGAAGCAGGGAACAGTGATCAATTTTTTGAGAGTCATGGGCGGTGTCGACAGTTGGCCACAGGTATCCCAAGCGTCGTGAAATTTTTAAATAATGAATTCAAATATTTTAATGCTATTCAGGCATACGTAGCTTACTTATGTTGATCGCGACTGCATCAAACTTATCTTGACCTCACCAGCAGCGTGAACTTGGCTTGGAATTATTTTCCTGATAATGTTATTTGCATTTTTCCGCTATTAATATACTATCATATAATTTGCGCGTTCATTGGACAACAAAAGCCCATCTGTTAGAATTTATCATGGGGTTAACTCACACGAATCAACAAAGAGCTCGGCGTGTGTTTGTATCAGGTTGAACCGTGGTTGCGGATGTGGTGTAAAAGAGGTTTTGCACCATCACGTGATGGCAGCCATGTTGGATGGCAGGAACAGTACAATCGCTTTAAATATAAGAAAGAATTTAATTCCCAAGAGTAATATAGGAATTTTATTGTTCTGCCATGTAACCACAGGCAGCCCGGTACATTGTGCCATGGGCACGTGATGGTGCAATATTTCTGACCACCAACATATGGTGAAAACTTTATATGAGTAGCTCTAAAAAATATCGTTGTAGGCCACATTTCCTTTGGGGTTATTACTGATGCAATTACTATTTGCCAAAGGCCAAAACCAAAAAAAAAAAAAAAAAAAAGGATACTGCAACAACAAATACCAATTCATTACGACGTAATTTAAAACTTAGTCGGTTCTTGAAAGGAGCAACTGATTGTCATATGTAATGTTTTCAAACCAATGTGGTCAAAAATTACATTTTCGGCATTGCTACTTTTTGAGAAAATATTTTTTAAATGTGCAGAAATTTTCTAATGTTTAAATAGTAGTCTTATATTCAGTTTATCGTGTCTAAAATCAACAAAATAACTAAGTATTGACGGAGTTAAAATCAAGAAAATGACGGCTTCACATGCTTTCAAGTTCGACCCCGTTGAGCTGCGTCACTACTGTACTTGCGGTGGTGATAAGCGACGACAAGTTTTTTTTCTTTCTTTCTTTGCAAGATTTTTTTGCTCCTTTACATCGTATTATTGACATCATTATGGGTGGTAAAGCTGCAAAGCCGCAAAAACAAAAGCATAGAAATCCATTTTTTTTCCTTTGAATAGAAATTTACCTTAAAGGAAGCCCGAGAAACTTGCCTAAACCCGGATAATACTGTTCTAGCTCTCCAAATGCCAAGCAAGCAAAGGACTGATCTGCTTGCATCGAGAAACCTACTAGTCAGAATGAAACTCAGTTTAAAATAAATTGTTAGCGGAAGCTACGTCATGTGGCCGGATATTTATCAATTGATCATATTCCTCACAAATTCGAGGGCTGTCATACGTTTCTGCGCGACCTTAGTCCTCCTAGTGTGCAGGTTTTAACTTCTGTCAATCAAAAATGTCAAGGTTAAAAATTGTACGAAAAATATGTTTCGTTTTTTTTTTTTTTTTTTTTTTTGGAGCACACGTGAAGAAATGATCTTTGGACAGTGCAAGTTTCGGCAACGACACGGTTTTTTAGGGGGGTGGGGTTGGGGAAAAAGTTACTGTTTGATATTTTTAGGGTGAGAGGTTTGGGTACTGTAGAGCAAACGGCTTGYGATTGATGCTCGATTCAACACCTTCCATACATCGCATCACTGGTCGAACATTAATTGTGATCTATTGTGTAAATCTTCTTGGTTCTATYCCATTTCTTTTTTCGATTTCTTTTAGAAAAATGTATTTCTTTCCCTGTCTTCCTTTTCTTACAAATATGAAAACACTGCCTTTGGGTTTCCTGTGGACAACCGCAGTGTGATGCGGTCAGTGGTCAACAGAGGACGCATGCGTTTGAGGATATTCTATTCCTGGCGCGGAATTTACAAACTTTTTGAAAAAGTAAACCTAAAGTATTTCTAGTTTTGGACACGCAAAAAAACACTTTTAATCATTTAAATGCAGAAAATAAGAATCAGTAATGTCACTTAGCGAAGAAGGAGTGTTCGCTGTAAGTCAGGATAGAATTTCAAGCTCTGAAAATGGTGCAAATTCAAGCGTTGAAGAAATGGAAGTTGAAGAACAGCAACAATCTGGGGATCGAGTTGAAGAGAACGCTGAAACAAGTGTTTTAAACTTTCCGTCCACACAACAGGCTCCTGAACCAGGAGTAAGCACTCTATCACAAGAAAACGATCCTCCTTTAGCACCGGAATCCGTARCACACGAAGCAGAAACGAATAATTCTACTCCACTGGAGGCACGAACGGTTCCACTCGTGAACCAACCAATTATAGTAGAATCGCCAGACGAGTTTAGAGACGAGTTCAAAGCCAAGAGTTCAAAAAGAGCAAAGATATCGAAATCACCTTTAAAATCGCCTGAAAAAGAAGACGAAGTGAGTATTAAGAATAAATGTTTAATTCGTGTTTTTGTCATTTCCATCGCAATTTTAAAAATATGAATGCGTGCAACGTGTGTTGCATAACCATTCGAAACGAACAAACGCCACATTTGTTGTAGGAAGAGATAACTAGCTAAAAACTGGTGTGAGCTGCGTCGGTGTTTCTAATGAAACAGTAATGATAAAAAGGTAAATTATACACCGTGATCTTTTCACGGTGTATAACTTACTTTTTTATCATTACTGTCACATTTATCAAAGTTTGCATTGTTTGCATTTTACTTATTTTAGGCCCAGTGTTGTCCAATATGTTTTGAACCTTGGTCCAATTCAGGTGCTCATCGTCTGGCTTCGCTAGCATGTGGACATTTATTTGGCAAGAGGTTAGAAATCTTTTTTCCTGTTTTTAAAAAAATATTAACTGATTGATGCACTGATTTTAAGTCAACTCCAGGGACAGTTATGCAATGCTTGATTACTCGTATATCAGCATATTAGGTTTTCAACGACTGAGGAAGGAGAACGAGAGAAACCCTGGAATAACGTCTTATCAAGGGAGACACCTAACAAACTACTCACACGTGATAGTAAGTCCAGGAATCAAACCTGCACTTTAATAAGACCTCAAAAACGAAGTCAGTCTACTAATTTTTTGTTTGCACATGACGTCATAGTCGCCATGTTGGATGATTTTAACATAAGAATTGTCAATGAATTCTTTTGTTGTATCATCCAACATGGCCGACATGTCTTTTTTATTTCACTCCCTTGGGAAGGATTGAAAACCAGCAATACTACACAAACCATAATTCCGAACCAGCCAGACGACTACTAAAGCTATGGATTTCTCAATTGACCACTTCTGCAATGACTACAGCCCAGATACTTCAGTACATTCAATCTCAACTCTATCATGAATTTTATTTTTTAGCTGCATAGAAAGATGGCTCAAGGGAAAAGGAAGTAATGAAAAATGCCCTCAGTGCAATGCACCTGCAAGACGAAGGGACATAAGGAATATTTATGCCAAGGCATTAAAGACCATTGATACAACAGAGAAAGATCGAGCTCTAGAAGAACTCGAAAAGGAAAAGAAACTAAGGCAAAGAGCTGAAGAAGCAGAAGCCAGAGCATTACTTCAGTATCAGCTGGTGAAGGCTGAATGCGAAAGAATGAAAATTACTTTGTTGCAACAGCAAGAATTGAGACTTGCAAGGTAAGAAATAAGTTTTCCTGATGTGTTTCTGTCATTCCTTTTTTTCACATATTCTCATCTTTGCATCATAATTAATGCAACCAAACATCTATTTCACCCCGGCTGGCTCTCAGTCTGACCTCTAGCTCAGCTGGTAGAGCATCGGTAGTACAATTCCAAAGGTCGTGGGTTCGATTCGTCGGAAATTAATTTTTCCGAATTTATTTCCAAGGGTCTTTCGCCTGGAATAACCTTGTTCCCAAGCACTAAAACTTATCTATATTTCTATACCTTTTTTGGTTTATCAAAATTAATATATCTAAGACTCAATTTATTCAAATATTAATTCATTTGTGTGTCTGTGTTTGGGAGTGGGTGAGTAGAATACAGTATGCTGTACTGTGTCTGTTTTGGGGTCACTTGGTCAATTCCCAGACTTGGCATCACAAGTTAGTAGAGTTTGTTACTAGGTCTGTGTCCACTAGCCCTACAGTAGGAAGCTCATTTGCTGTTTGAGCAGAGCTAATTTTGTTTACCTCACAGTTCCAGCTCCTGTGCATGCAAAAGACCAAATTCAGAAACCAGGACTGTAGGAGAAGCATCAAGCCAGGCCTTTACTTCAAACAAGTGCTATATCCTTCAAGGAACATCTCAAATATCAAAGGTACTGTAGTTCTTATGATTATCTTCTCATTATATTCTACCAACAAAAGATTGAATACAAGCTCTATATTAGTAGGTATTTTTAGACAGTAAGTTGACTGCATAGCACAGAGAGGTTTCCACAGAAGTATAGCTATAATTTATAGCACTGTGAGACTGCACTAACCAAGGCTACTCAGACAATTTTTCATATGTGTGTGTACATGATCAGTAGTGAACGAGAAACAGTTTAAACTCCAGAATTTGTCATCCTGTTATTCAGCATTGAAAACATGTTTGTGAATTTGATTTAAAATTTGTTAGGGTGGCGTTGGTTAATAAAGTCACACTTTAAGAAGTACCCAGTAAGGCTAGACCAAGCGAGTAGCCTTGGGAATAAATGATGTTTTCCAACTAGGCCACTTGCTGAAATTGAAATTTTACACTGAAATTTTATCGATACCTTTAAAAAAAAGCCTCTGGGCTGATTGAAGTCAGGGCATGGCTAACTCACAGGATGAAATTGGAATTTAGCATGTTGGTTTTTGCAGAGTGAGGAAACCTAAGAACCCAAAGAAAAAACTCTTGAAACACAGGAGAGACCTACAGCCTGTAGTAACAAACTCTACTCACTTGTGATGCCAAGTCTGGGAATTGACCCAAAGACCCCAAATACATATTTACTCATTTAATTTTCATCGAATGCTGTTTTTTTTCCAGGGTGGTTCTAGAGTGATGTCATTTGATGAGCACCATGCTCTTCTAGTAATATCAAAACCATCAGCAAATCAGCTGTTTCCAGGATTTGGAGTCCTCAAGGTACATATGAATATTTTTGAATTATTAATTATTAATATATAAATGGGTAAACAGTTGCACCCAGGTGAATTAGGTCTATTTTACATATGGCAAGCATACGACTTGAAATGAGATTCAATGTTTCTACATTTCACATACATGTACATGAATTTGCATTATAAATACATATATGTTCTATTTTCTGTAGGTCAGCTCTCTAGATGTCAAGCACTCTGAATTTGTGCAGATTCACCAGAAGCCACTACGGGATGCCTGTTTCAGTTGTCAAGGAGATGGACTGTTATTGACAGCTGGGATGGACAAGACAGTTAAGATTACAAGCATGATAAGCAACACTGTTGTACAAAGGTTAGTTTATTTTTTATGGGGATCAATTAAGGGTGGTGTAGAGGTAGTACACTAACTTCTTACTTCTGACGTCTTAGGTTTTTTTACTAGACTTGGCAACGCATGTGAATAGAATTTGTTAGCTCTCCCTTGATTCTAGGTGTCCAGAAAAAATTTTCATTGGGATCCCTGTGTAGTTTTGGTTGCATGTGCATGGTAGTAGGTCAAGTTAACCCAAGGAGAAGTAATAAAAAACCAGTGTATGTAAGGTCATGGCCTTCRGAATTGATTCTATGTATGTCTTTCCGTACACTAGGGCTTTCTCCATGCTCTAAGGTTTAAAAATGACACACTAAACTTTAATTGGATCTGTGAGCTAGCCATTAAGTGTAAAGTTTGTTGATCCATAATTAATTTATGAATGAATAAATGTGTAACTTTTTCCAGTTATTCAACGCCAGTACCTGCCTGGTCCTGTGCCTGGRACAACAGCGACTCTAACTACATGTATTGCGGGCTAATGAATGGCTCTTGTCTCATGTTTGATGTCCGAAACACAAATACATTCCTAAAGAATCTAAAAACCGAGGGGGATAGTTCATGTCCTGTCATATCATTAGCTCATGTGAAGCCTGATATCAACTCAAAATTAAGGTATGTACGTATATGACTAAGAATAATTCAATCAATCAATGTATTGCTCATTTCTCTTAGAGAAACATTCAGCTCTCACTCTACTCGAGTAAGTTCAACTAGTACTTTGAAGCCAAGCTATTATGGCTGCGTCTAAAGCATTCTTTCAGAATCTGTGATGGTTGATATTCCTGAAATCTTTGGTAGATTGTTCTTATTAATGTTTTTATTGGACAGCCTTTTCTTTCGTTGCTTGTATCTATAAAAGTTAGCTTCTTGATATATCTGCAGTTTGAGGAGCGTATTATATGTGCAAACCATTTTAGTTGTTTCACAACAAAGTCCTTCAAGGGCGTTGCTCTAGTATATTCATGTATTTGCTCATTCGTTAGTTTATATGATATATCATATACTTGATCATCATCATCATCATCATTGTTGGTGTCAAAATCATTATTTGCTTTGTGCTGATGAAACCTTACAATTAATTTGATATCAGTCGAAAATATTACTGTATTCATGGTTCTGACTCCCCTTAGTTAGCTATGTCCCACATGGTCAACAAATTAGCAAGTCTTGGAATATCTCAGAATTTAAAACTCTGAAATGTTTTCTGTCCTTGCCTCAATCCTTGTTAAACTCTTAAAAACAAAATTTGTTTTAAAGAGTTTTACAAGAATTAAGAAGCAATTTTATTTTATATTTATTATATTAGATTGTATATTTTAATACTATGTACAGTAATTGTTTGTGGGACAATGTTTTAATTCYACTGGGAAAACTGCTGAGTCGGAACCATGAATGCTGTCCAATATTCCTGGATGGTTGGGCTTCCTGTGGTCACTGTTCTCCACAGGAACCCCACCCAAATATTTTATGTATACCCTATAAAATATCACAACGTTATTCTTAGTTCTTTTTCGTTGTTGTCTATTTCAGACCAGGGGGTCTACTTGTTTGTAAGCTTGGTGGTGCTTGTTTCTGGGAGAGCACGTTTGGTGTGGATTATCTTCCCCACACCTTGATGTTACCAGAAGGATCCTGTACTAGTCTGTCCTTTGAGCCGAAAACAAGGCATTGCATGTTCTCCTTGAGGCCATCAAAGAACTTACCGAAAACAAGACATGTGGTAAGTGGCCTACATTAAATCAGATATCATCATTATCACAAATCTTGATCATCATCATCATCATCATTATCATCATCTTAACTTTCTCCATCACTGCTGTCACCATCATGTTCATCAATTATTCTACTACTACTATCATATTCACCATCTTCACCACCTCTACGACCTCTGTACATGTATCTTCACCACAACAAACCTCAAGCACCAATATCATCATCATCATCATCATCACCATCTCCATCACTGTTATCTCCATCACCACTACTATTACCATTATCTTTGCCCACTCCTCCCACCACCATCATCTTCAACACAACCACCACTATCGCCACCACCACCATCATCATTTAATCATCAACAATACTGTAACCTCCATCATCTTCCCTCTTAACAGTACACTAGTCTACAAAGCTTTCGCTGTTGTATCACAGCGTGGGACAATCACAACAGAGCTGGCTCCAAACTAAGTGAAAGCCCAAAGATCGAATTAGAATTTAGAAGTTGATTTTTGAGGAGGGAGGAAAACCGGAGAACCCGGAGAAAAACCCTAGTACACATCATCATCACCATTATCTTCACCTGGTATACTACCTGTAACTACCACCATCATTTCTTTGTTGCTCTCATCATTGTCATCACATTCACATTCAGCTAAAAATCTTCAACAATTCTCTACTCGTTTTTAGGTGTGTGAGCTCCAGGGTAATGGAATTGGAGTATCAACCGCTAGGGCACAGTCCGAGGATGACCCAAGCACTGCACCTAATGAAGCAGATGGCTCTGCATCAAATGTGGGAAGCCTTATTACATGTAATTCAAAAATGCAATGTGTTGGTGGTCCAATCCAGAAGCTACTAAGCCGCTCGTCATTGTTTACCAGCCCTGATAATTCTGAGTCACTGATAGTTGCGGCACCAGACGAAGCAGCCAAAGCTGTAAGACAGTGCATCTTTTTATTCGTAACATTACTCCTTCTTTGCCATGTTTAGTAGTTTAGAAATAGTTATAAACAGAAGCCAAAAAACCCCAAAATCTTGAAGTCATATGTTGTAAAAACATGCAAAGTGCTCAAAATGGGAATTTTCTTCTTTATTTCTAATGGGCAAGTGTTTAGTTACTCTTTTATTCAATGCGATTTTATATTCTAGAAAAATTCTAATCCTCTTCATATTTTTTTACTTCCAGACTCTATTATGGGATGGTTTTACTGGCAACAAGCTTCAAAAACTTCCCTACCAAGGCGAAACAGTATTAGATGTGTTACCATTTACTGTTAATGGACACAGTTTTCTCACTACCATCACTGAGCAGAAACTGGATGTCTATCGATGGCAGTAGATACAAGTATGAAAATAATTTAGGAATTATAAAATTGAATAACTGAATAAATGCTCGAGGTGAGTAGCTTAGGCATAAGGATTTCCTATTTTTATGACCTTCCATCCTTTTGAGAAAAGAGTCTTTGTCAGAGGTACATCCATATCCATGTGTACCTCCTTGTGTTATTAGCAAAGAAAGAAATAATAAATAAGGAAAAGTTGCGATGAAAGCATTTTATATCATGGGAAAGCATTATATATTACCAAGGTGAATGGAACAATAGACCCTTTACCAAAATGGCAGCTGAAAATTCAAATGAGTTAAATTATAAAACCAATACTATTACTGGAAAGAGCACCTTTACTTTAGTAACCCTACGAAGATGCATTATGTCAAGTGTTATATCAGCCGAGAAAACTCAAATTGAAAATTTGACAAATTTACAGACATTTGTATGTCTGGGGGTATACTGTAGCGTGCTCGTATTGGTTTTTCTCTCAGTTTAATTTTAACTCAACTGAATTTTTTTGGCTGCCATTTTGGCAAGGGGTCTATTTCCCCATCTTGTAAGCTGTTCTTACTAATACCCAGTTGAAGTTTATTGATTAAATAAACATGTATATTTTTATATTGATAATCCAACATGATATTTTAAAATATCTCTAAAGTTAAAATTAAAATAGTTGTACATAGTTGTAAATTATAGCAGTTTATTAATAAATAGTTTGTTTGAATTAAAATATTGTACTTTACTTTACATTGCTAATACTTTTTGCAGTCATACTGGTTACATTTCACTTTCTCGTCAAAAAAAATTTTTAAATTGATACGATTTCCTAATATTAATTAACTGTTTAAAAAAAATTATATCAACAGATCCAAWAATAATAATAACAAATTGAAATGTTGTATATTTCTGAATAATATGTGTAGATCAAATAATCTATCCTTAAACCACAAAGGTATGACCACATGGGAAAATTGCAAAGTCTGTGCATAGAAGTACATTGTATGCAAATACATTAAATGTGGTGAAACTTTTGTACCTTGCAGTGTTACACTATCCCTTAAGTGGCTTTCTCCAACATTATAAAGATCTAGTCCTTGTATATTCCAAAATTGCAACATCTGCAAATAAAGTCACCTTTTTGGAGATAGTAGATCAAGGTACAGCAAGGGTACAAACATTTTTATTCATCATGGACTACATGGTGTTGCTCGTACCCAAGCTAGACCAGAATGCAACTTGTTTGTTAAACTAGAAAGGACTTTTGTTTCCTTACATGAGGCAAAATTTGATCCCTGAAAAACAGGATAGATCAGCGAAAGGGAGGTGGTGTTGAGATGTGCATATCAAGGTGCGTAACATGGCATGCACAGCAGGCAACTCAAATTGATGGCAAGAATGTGAGTTTTAGTTAAAATTGTCACCATGTTACATGAGAACAATTTTTTGCACAACAATGTTGCATGAAAAATTGCTGTTGCAATTCAACTTGTGGTACACCCCCTGTATTGGTAATTATTATTTTAAATAATCATTATGTTGCTTTTTCTTTAACCGATAGACTCATATTTCTGTTAGTATTGCGAGTGCAAAGCAACACACTGAACGTTAACAGACATATTGCTTGTAAAAGAATTAACATTCCATCCCAGTCATAAAACTTGGTGAAGATACTAAGTGGATAGCCTGCCATGACTGCACCAACTGAAAAAGAGAATTATGAATGTCAAGAGTAGCCTTCTCTGCAGGTTACCCCATATATTCTCCATTGGGATCCCTGTGTTAAACCTTATGGCAGTCACCACAGGAAGCCCAAGGGGATGTCTGAGGAGGAGGCTATGTCAAAGGAGTTYATAGAAATTAAGAAATTAAACAAAAAAATAAGTGTGTTTCCTGTTGCATGAGAAAAAATAATTGGGGTCGGTAGGTTGGATTTTTTTTACTGATACAAGAGTAGAAATGAGCTTACTGGGAACCCTGTGGTGGATTTGGGAATGAAAAAAATATAGAGGTCGGCAAAAATCGGCAAGAAAATTAGGGTCGATCGTGCAACAGGAAACACACTTATTTTTTTGTTTGGCCTAATAGGTTTCAAAGATTTAACTAGACAATTCATATTCAAATTCAAATTCTTGCCTGTCATTGCCCRATGATCGAAAATTGTAAAATTATAAGAGCTGCTCTAAAGTAGTACTTACTACTGGCTGCTAAAGCTACGATGCCGTGGGTGGATGACGTCAACCCAACAGGACTGTTCTCTACTGCTAATACACCAAACATGTTGATAGGACCCATTGCTGAACATCCCAATGCAAATGTAGTAAGCCCCACCATCATCTGGACAAAATTAATGCAATTATTATTACAATAGGCCCTTTGCAGTTAACGGTCACGTGTCTGTACTGGTGAGCAAAATTTTTGTTTTTATTTTAAATTGGTGATTCTTTTTAGCTTYTTGTGAAGAACTGAATGAAACAATGYGTAACCAGTGTGTTACGAAATGCAGTTTTATTACGATCTCTCGAAACAGGTTGTAGAAAGTTTGTTTGCTCACCAGTATATTTCACCCAAGGGAATCAAGATGTTCATTCATTTGCTCTCAGTGTATTAATCAGCACGTGATTACTGAGCTGCAAAGGGCCTATTGTTTTGGATAGAATAGATGAAAGTCATGTGATTGATATAAAGTATAGACAAACTAGTATTATTTTACCTTTGGTGTTTCCAGGAGGATAACAGTTCTTAGTACATGTAGGCTCATAAACATGGCAAGTACATAGACCAATATCAGYGGCATTCTAGGACTAGCAGTTGTCTTGTCATTAAACTAGAAATGAAAGACAAAAATTAATTAATAAATAGAAACCTGATTTAAGCAAGTACAAAATATCCTGCAATACTCTAAATTATCTTGTACAATAACTGAAACCAGTTTTTGAGTCACAAATGAAAGAAAACCCATGTATTTTGAAGCGAAGCCTTTGGGGAAAAGATTGAATTTCTGYCTTAATTTCGCCACTGCCTATGTTGCAATTTCAGAATTTTCTTGTGTCGCTTGTTGATATCTCACCCCTAATAGGGCCTTGCTTTCATTGATTCCTTAGAGCATTCTGTCTTTTATTGCTAGTTTGTGGCTCTTGTGAGTGCCGTTTTAAGGCCAGGGTCTCTATTGATGCACCTATTTCRAAGATCGTTGTTGCACCAAGAGCCTCAAGTAACAAGCCAAGGCTCCAAAGAACGTCGGTACTTTTAATTATAATTGATTTATTCATGGTTCATGCAAGTGGCTATAGCTCTACACTAATTATCATCTCAAGCAGCCTTGCTTGGAGCAATTGTGAAGTCAATAAATGAAAATGCACCATGAATAAACTAATTACAGCTAAGAGTACCGGCGTGTCTTGGCTTGTTGCTTGGGGCTTTTGGTGYGACAACGATTTCTGAAATAGGTTTATATCAAAACAATGCATAACACTTATCAGTAGATGTTACCTTGGCAACCAGTTTATCTGAAATGTATCCAGATGTGATGCTCCCAAAGAACCCACCAACTTCAAACATGCTCATGGCAACACCAGCTTAAATTGAACACATCAAGTATATTAGGGTGAGAGATATGAAATAAGTAAGATTGTGCTATTTGGAAACTGATTTTTAATTGCTCCATGTTAAAACACCACTTACGTTAGGCTAGCTTTTGTTTAATTGTTTGGAAGACCGATCTATATATTGTTTTTAAAATGATCATGAAAACTTGTTAAAAATGGTGTGGGATGCCCCTATGAAATTATTTTAGTCCCTTTGTACAATGCAGAGGCATGACCTTGAAAGTGCCGCCAAGTATTTTGGACAGAAAAGCAATGATCTCGAGCACTGTGATTGGTTCAAAGAATGTTACATTACAGCCCTATTTCACATTTTAATATGAAATCTACGTATATAGGGGCTTTGCACCAACACATGATGGCAGCCATGACAGGAGGCAGGAACAATAAGTCTTTTTCCACTAGGAAATTGAATTCTTTCTCATGTAAATCAGATTAGACCAGATTAAACTGTTCCTGCCTCCTGTCATAGCTGCCATCACAAGATAGTGCAAAGCCTCTATTTAATCTCCTGCAACTACTTACCATCGTACTGAGATTTYCCTTTATCTTGAATCAAGTACAGCTGTCCCCAGTCAGCAACTCCAAACTTAACAAAGGCAGCCATGAAATACCCAAATGAAATCACATACAGAAATGGACTACGCAGGACATCTGAAATGGAGCAACTAGTTTCTTCTACTGTCTCACTGGTATTTTCCTCATGGCTTGGCGCATAATTATCATCAAATCCAATCTCCGAAGGTGAGTTATATATACTTAAATATACTACCATTGAAATGATTAAAGCACTGCCTCCGGGAAYAATGAATGCATATTTAAGGCCATAGTTGAGTAATAAATATGAGATGATTACAGGTGATAGGCTTGCTGAGAGGTTGCTTGATGCTGTTAGAACACTCCATAGTGTACCAAACTGGTGATAGAAAAGAATTAATTTTCTTAAAAAAAAAGAGAGACTTTTGTAAAACGAAATCAAAATAAATGAACTGGAAAATGAGAATAAAAAAATGAGAGTTGCCAGGAGTTCTTAATGAATAAGAATAATATGCATTAAAATTATCTATTTATGCATGCCGCAAATGATAAAATAACAAATATATGAATACATGAGACGGTAAACTAAACATTTATATAAATGAAAATATGTAAACAAAGCAAAAAGGATCTAAATTATAAAGTTTAAAGTATTTCAAAGCGTTATATCACATAATTGATTAATAGTGGATGACTTTAATAGTTAAACTCAAAAATGATTATAAACGTACCTCTTGCGGTTTGAACCAGTTCTTGATGAGCGTTGCACAAGGCGGCCATCCGACTCCTTGAACTAACCCGTTTACCCCCCACAACACTGTCAAACTCCACAAACTCGTATAGTACCCGATAGCAACGTTAACTAAAGCACTTAGGAGTAAACCAGAGGCAAATAAGCCACGAGAACTAACTCTATCGCCTAAAAATCCTCCGATAAACTTGCTTAACCCGTACGTCACAGTATAACTGCTCGTAATTATGCCAAGCTGGTGTTGATTTTCTTTCGTTAAATTAAGTTCTTCTACGATTGAAGGGATAGAGAATGTGAAGGTCTTTCTTGTGAAGTAGTAGAAGGAATATCCGACAAAAAGAGACGCAAATACTGTCCATCTTGTTCGTTGGTACAAAAACTCTCTGCTTTCCGCCATCTTTGTTTTGAAGTACTCACCACAGGAAGCCCAAGTTATCTCAAAGTGCCAAACATTTGGGGGGGGGGGGGGGGGTTGTGTGGCAGGGGAGGGGATACACGTATTGCTATTTGCTTTGTTTCCAAATGGTATAAATTATGTTCAATTTTTGTTATTTAGTGTCCAATTCTCGACTTTCGCATCCCCATAATGCCTTGTGTCTTTGGGGGTAACCAATCAAAAAACTGTCCCAAATTGAAAGGTTTCTTAATTGAATTTATACTATACCTGCTTTTATCTGTACAATACTGATTATCAGTTTATTCCAAGTTATTTTTGCGCGTACAGATCATCAAGAGTTTTGGTCTTACAGAAAATGTATTGACTTGCGAAAAAATGTTTAAAATTTACCTTAAACAACTTCAAGCTTCAATCTTTTTCTGTTTTTTACTTCTTCATTTTATCTTTGGATACCAAACAAGGTATTTTCAACATTGTCTGATCAGCCTTCGGCAAAATAAGTGGGTTTTTGCCCTCTGGTTACCCCCCAAAGACGAAAAGAATTATGGGGATGTGAAAGTAGAGAATGCACCGACTGTATCGATAGTCTTCTCCCTGATTTTGTAAATCAGGCAAGAGGTTCGACAGACTAAAATTTGTGTTCAAAACTACTTAAAGCCTTAAAATAACCACTTTATATTTTTAGCTATCGCAGCAGAAATCTTCACATTCTCAGACAGATACACCACAAGATTATCACATGTTATTCCTTTTCTCCACTGTATTATCTACATGTACTGTCTCAATGACCTTTAGCGATCAAATACATCTAGACAAACATTGTACTGTAATACGACGAGGCCTAGGATATCTTAACTGTTAATCTATCCCCTTTAGTGTTATGATACTGGCACGTGTGTGGGATTGTAGACCACTATTTTCGTCACTCGTAATAGGTAGATAATGAGGAGATATTATCTTGGGTATTTTCTGCTCTGCGATGGAAGTCTTTGGGTTGGACTAAACGTAGCCTGAAAAGCAGGGGTTCTTGTGGGTTTGGGGAAAAACCGGGGTTTTTGGACGTTCCCTTTTATTGCTGGGTCCCATTTTTCTCGCGGGCCCTTGGTCGAAACAGGATCCCCAAAACCCCGATTCTCCCTCAAACCCATCAAAAGAACGCCTGCTCTGCAGGCTAGACTACTAAACGAAAAGTGGGTGATGTTTCCAATGTTTGGGTGTTGCTCTTAGGGATTTGTCTTCAAGAAGCAGTGAAATAGCAGACATAAGCGACTCCGAAGACTGACCCAATGACAACAAAACAAACAGAAAATCAACACAAACATTGCGTTTTACTTGGAATCAAGTTTGTTTATTTGTTCAAGTCAGAACTTGAGATCACTAGATTCATTTGGCGTAGAAACTTCGACTGATGCCACCATTTCCCTATGTTTTGGGAATTAAAGCACAAATGAATATGATAAAGGCTTAAAATACAGTGGGATTGTCTTAGCCTGCTATGCATAAAGTATTGTAAATTGGACAAGCATTGATCCCTTTTATTTTGGGCGTAATGTGTTCACATTTACGTGAAAACCACATGTCATTCTCTTGAGTATTATTTTTTTATGGACCGCTTAGTATTATTTCTTTCATTGACCCTTTTACTTTGTGCGTAATGTTTTTCTATTTCAAACCACATGTCATTCCCTTGAGTATTATTTCTTTTATAGACCCTTTTACTTTGGGTAATGTTTTCTCCATTTCAAACCACATGCCATTCCCTTGAGTATTATTTCTTTTATTTACTCGATTATTTGGGCGTAATGTTTTCCCATTTCAGACCACGTGTCATTCCCTTGAGTATTATTTCTTTTATTTACTCGATTACTTGGGCGTAATGTTTTCCCATTTCAGACCACGTGTCATTCCCTTGAGTATTATTCCTTTTATGGTCCCTTAGTTTTAACTATTTAGACATCATAGTTTCAGCCACAATTTTAAAGACTTTTTTGATTTTCTAACTTGAGTTTACTCCCTTAAATTTAGCCATACATTCTAGGGAATAACATCGTGTGAAATGGAAAAATATTACGCGCATTGATAAGGAGGTCCATTTGTGGTCACCATTTATTTTGCTGCTGCATTCTCCGCAAATCTTTTCTGATCATTCCCTGTTTAGTTTGGATAGAACAAAATCCTTTATCTTAAGTATTATAAGCCCACGTCATTTCGTTGAAATATTCCTGACAGAGGTCATGTTTTAGAAGCTAGAAATACCACCCTAACGGCCAAGGAAATAGTGGCTCCCATTTCACATTCGACGTACAAAAGATACGTAAAGCTGTAGTATGTTTATACAAGTGTACGCCAGAGATTTCGATCAGTGTTGCGTGTTTATAACCATACCAGTATGATACGAAAAGTTATCTTTGTTTTGTATCAGTATCTTTAGATGGTTAAGTTTTCTGTTTATTTAGGGTTGTGTCCACATCTTCTCCAYTGATCTGGATGGAAGAGCCGACTTATAGATGAGGTTTTAAATTTCTCCAGGCATCGAAAGCCCTTCGTTGTTGAACTACATGAAGCTTGTCAGACAGGATTTCGAGTGAGTACATGTTTAACGTACCATATACATCTGGGTAGCTCTCAGTATTTCCTCTGTATATTTAGTGCATATCCTTTAGTGCATTCTCTTGTTCAAAAGTAACTCATGATTATTTTAAAGCAAATTAAACCTTTGCCATTGTATAAAATCATTTGTAGTAGAATTAAGACAATCTTTATTTCCAATAGTCAGTACTCACTTTTGTTTGGACCTTTTACCTCTGAAGCATTTTAAAAATTGTGCAAACTTCACCAGCTTTAGCGACAATGTTTCACTTTGTTTTAGCTGTTTCTTAAAATATTTAATACAACGTGAAGAGCATCTTTCCTGATCTATGATAATCGCTTCGTGTAATCTTATTGTTGTTTGGGATTAGAGTTTCTTGAGCCGATTGGAGCAGTTTATCAAGATTGGCCAGGAGTCGGTACGGTACTCGCCTGGTACAACTGCGATTCAACGTACTCAGTTCCAAGACAACGCTAGCTCGGCATCTCTTTGCAGGGCCGTAGCCACAAATTTCTGATTGGTCCCGTTTTCGAGGGTTTTCGGTTTTTCATACATTTTTAAAATATTTTTCTAATATCTTTCTTCCCCCGCCGTGCCGGTGGCTACGGCCCTGCTTTGAAGGAGATATTCGATCTCAAGCAGCTCGAATTTCATAATTTTCTGTTCGAAATGAGTGAAAAATAGAACCATTAAATTAGAATTAGTTTTTTGGCTGTTCAGTTCTTCTGGTTGTGCCTTTATTATTTTTTCAATAAGAAGTAAATGTGTACTCTACAAACACGGCATAGCTTGAAATTTTTTATCAACGTTTTTGAAAAAATTAGTCGCCAATGAGCATTATTTTAAAATGAATTCAGTTGAAGCTAGTTAGGCATTATTATATCCTATACTATACTGATATATTTATATATATATAAGCAGCACAAGTGGTATAGATATCTTTAATATTTGTGAATTGTCGAAGCTAAATCTTCTGGTTGAAATGCAAGAAAACCATGTATAAATTAGTAATGATGAAAAGGTAAATTATACACCGTGAAAAGATGAAAAAACGTACTGACGTTTCGGACGCTAGTCCTTCGCCGGAGTAAAAGAGAAAGAAGTGGTAGAAAGGAGTGTATGAATTATGACACTAGGGTAAAATCTAGAAAATCCCAGCTGGATAAATGGAAAAAATCTCATGCTGGCGATTCTATTTCCGTTTTCAATTCCCATCCCATCCTATTCAAACTCAGCTATGTATACACACAAAATCCCTGAGACAACAGCGGGGGGGAGGGGGAGGGGGCGTATTGTTCAGACATATGTCACTGAGAACTAAAGTTTGGAAACTTCAAAGACATTACGTAAGTTTTTCAACTATCGAAATAATCACTATTGAATATTGGAGCAACGTGTGGGCGATCTGCTATGTTGTAGTGTTGTACATTGTTGAGATACCAAACTACATGCACTGATATATATTAACAGTTTCTAAGCCTTAAAAATTGGTAATAGGAAACTGCTGCATTCAACCATTTCAAGTGATATAAATAAATCACACAGAACTTGGAGTAGAATCATATAACTTTTTTTATCGAGAGAGTCAAAATTTGAATACTCCTAAACTTTAATTTATATTATTATTGGTGACGTATTCTTCTACTGTTTTCACATTTTCTTCATAACATTTAATTTTGTAAAATATTTCAAACGATTAAGATTCTTCATTTTTATTCATTTATAGCTTTTCCGTGATTAATCTGTCTGGAAGTTTTTATAAAAATAAAGCGCAAAGACACGAGTGAAGTGTGYGTCAATGTTTTTAGACCTCAGTTTTCTAATTTACGAACCTCTTCAATTTTTGATCGTTTAGCTATTGAAAGTACTGAAAAACTGCTTAAAACGTCTAGTCACAAAAAATTATGATGAACGCCAAAGCGATACAAGAGAAAACGTACGCATTTTTATGATTGCCGGGTCCCTGAAACATCTCTTTGAAAAGCGCACTAAAATCTCAAAATATATGCTGTATCATTTAGCGATCTACATAGCTACCACAGTAGGGGATCGATCCATTGTGATTACTAAATAAATTGAAATTCATAAAAACCTGTCAAATGTGACGAGTTTGTATCATTGTAGCTTTTGCGGCTCTAGCTTAGAGTGGAGAGGGAACGCGGCGAAAAGCGGCGATCGTAGACCAAAAAAGAAAAAAAAAAATAAGTGGAAGGTTATTGAACTTAACTGTGTTCGTGAACACTTGGTGTCCATAGCTGTTGACTAAGTAGGGAGGGGTAAGTAAAAAAACGGAATTTGAGTTGAGAGTTGTATGCATRGAATATTGAAATTAGTGGTGTGTGTGTGCGAGTGAAAGTGGGTCAAATTGAAAAATAGTATCCATAATGAATTTGTTCACCTACTATAACAAAAAAATACATAATCATTGTTTTATGTATTTGTTTTATTACATATGTTTCCTTTTTTGAAATTCGTGGGTTTATTTCATGTAGATTTTATCTACAAATTTCAACAAATTAAAAAAATTTAAAACGGAATATTTTTCAATTCAATTCAATTATATATTTTTTATTTTTGGATTGTTTATATTTTTTCGTTTTAAGTTCCGGAAATCGAGAAAATTTGATTGTAGTAGGACTAATCATATTTAGTAATTTCAAACATTGAAAAATCAAGAAATAACTGAAGCTATACTAGCCGGTTTGAAGCGAATATTGCTGCGTTCCCCAAAGACATTGCAAGGCAATTTTTTTTTGCCAGGGGCATAATTTTTGCATAACACTTAAGATTATAAATCCATTACGTCAGCTCCGTCGTCTGTCACAGCGCGCACAATACAAGACTCCAAATTATACAAATTCCCGTGAATACTAGCTGCTTTATGATTTATCCAGTTGTATAAAAATCACGTTGGAATCATTCCGATTCAATACTTGTACGCAAGGAATGACTCCTGAGAGTGAAATCCTGGAATTTTTCCTCTAAGTCAAATCGCAGTTATGAATGACTATATCTGTTTACATGTATAGTAATTAACGTAATTGTGTATATATTACAAATAGGTTTCAAAATCACTTTGCAGATACCCAATATCGAGAACTTTAACATTCTTTGGCAGAGAGTGGGTATTACCGGTACGTACGTCTAAAATCAATACAATCGGGGGAGGGGAGGGGGGACATCGCCTCTTTTCACCTTGACCCTATTAAAGTTGGTCCCTCTCTAGGTATCTTTTGACTCTCTTGGGAATGCTTTCAACCAATCGATAGAACCACTTCAAAATCGTTAAATTTTATGAATTCAGTCTGCACAAAATGCAGATCAAAAACTGTTGAAGTCAAGAAATATCACGTCGAGGGTTYTTAAAAAGAGTCTTGGTAAACTGAGAACTACTTTATAAATAGTTAGAAAACTTGCAAAACCATGGTTCATTACATCTGTGTGGTATTTATTGACCAATCACAGTCTGCGGCAGAGAAGACAGATCAGAGAATGTCATATCAGATCAAACCGGAATCCAGAAATGTCATGTCAAAATGGAACAAAAAGAAAAAGACAAAAAAAANGCGTTTAGTATTTTCATTAAATTTTCTCGAACCATGGTATTTGTACAAATCCTTGAAAATTCGTCGGTACCTTAATAACACTATTCCTTTTGTACCACACCCATCGTCTTCCATCTACACTGTAACGGATGATAAAGCTTTTCACCCACTGGTTCGTGTCGCTTCGTCCTTGAGTTACAATCTTGAAGACCCTCTTTGGCGATCTCAAGTTAAACTGAATCCATTGACCCCTGTTATTTTTACGAGCTGACCATCCTCCAACTAGACGTCCACGTCGTTTACGATGCAGACGAGCGAGCCATGGGGCGTGGTTTTTGTCCCATTGGCTGGAAGCTGTGATGTATTTGTTGGGCAGACGGCCATTGGAAATACCACTTGGGAATATACGAGGACGAGGAAGGCGGCCTGTATATAGTTCAAAATTGAAATGACTAATATTTAATGCCTGATGCTCTAAAATTTATATTTGAATATCATTGGATATGCGATTGTCTTTGAATAACTACTTCGATGTCTTTCTTTACCGACACATCTAAACGGCTCATGTAATATTAAATTATGCCAAGAAATAGTGTTTGGAAAGGACATATAACAAACTACAGTTAAAAGCTGCAATATCTTCAAAATGAACTCACCATATCGTCGTCCATACAGTTCCAACCTCATAGAAATGTGTCCCTGCCAGCTTCTTGGGTAAACTCGTACAAAACGTGCTTTCAGAGGACGAACAAATCTGTTGTATACTATGGAGTTTCTGTTACGATTTCCACGGAATATCTATGATTGCAAAAAAAAAAAAAAAAAAAAAAAAAAAAAAAAAAAAAAAAAAAACCAATAAGAATCGAGTATTTAAAAATCTAAAATTCTTAAAAGTTTTCTGTCGGCTCTTCAGTTCCAAGGTCTAAAAAAATACCTGTTGTGAGATCGACAAAGAAGCATTTAAATTATTCAGAACCAATCTCCAAGAGAGTAAGAGTTAAAAGGAAAGCCGAAATGTTATTCTTATTATCCTACTCTTGCTTTAAATAAGACTATCATATCGCAGTCGCAAAGTTTTACTCTCGGATTCTTGAGGAAATTTTTTTTGAAGGTAAGTATGCACAGTAAGGCAAGGAATGCAATGGAAGCATATGTATCTGGCTATAAGGTAAAGGTATCAGTGTATGGCATTAATACGGCCTTATGGAAATGACTTAGAGTTCATCTTCACTTCCTGTTTGAAGAAGACAGCTTAAAGTCCAAAATTAGATTCGCTAAACTTATAGCTTACTGTAGTTTCTTAACCCAATATGGCAGAAAGGCTCATTAGTGATGAATGCTAGTCATCGAGAGTGCATCTTGAGATCTACAGGGTAAAACGTGGTTTCATGAGACAGTGATAAGACAGTATCTCGAATATGAAACACTGATTTGAGTATTAGACTTTTCAAAATATTTGGAGAAGTTTGAAAGGTTGAAAACTTTTGATTTGCTAAGCTTATGCCAAATTATTTAATGATCAATAAAGATTTGGAAAATTTTTTGCTTCTCGAAATTTAGCTTTTTATGATCTGCAATAGTTTCTAGATCGGAAAATTGCCTGGGACCCGTTTGTACGAAGCCTGGATAGCGCTATCTTGAAGATAAATCCTTATCCAGTGCATACGTATAAGTTGATGCTGTTTTCCAATAAATTTATCCCCTGGATAAGATTTATCCGTTCGATAGCACTTTCCAGGCTTCGTACAACCGGGCCCTGGAGCTAGTTTTAATAGATAGATTTGTGGTAAGAGCCGCATGAATATGTCAAGCCGTCAGTAGTTTAAGTTGATGTCCTGGAACCTCATAAATTAAAATATTTGTATGCATTTATTTTCCTTTCACAGTCTTCCAAAGTCGTACTAGTAAATAGTTTAGCAACTTTACGTAAGAACCGACCCAAATAAATCTATTAACCAAAGACTCACAATTTTCCAATTTGTTTATTCCTTATATGCGTTGCCATAGCGACCATTTTGCTTGCTCTCTGAGGGCGGTCGTCAATTAAATTGCGCTATTCTGATTGGTTAATCCACAGCCCCTCATAAGGAAAGCTTGTAATTATTTAATTCGTCGGAAGTGCGTATGAAATCCTTTGGGAGAATTCAAGATGACGTCACAGATTGTTATTTGGCGCGCGTATTTACGTAGAATTGATTTTTGAGTCCTTATGGCTGTCACCTTTTGGGACGATCTTTTGTTTTCAGTTGTGTGCTGTTTTACATACAGAATTGTGCTTTGACGCGTGCATACCTTGCAAATCAGGCCATCTTAACCAAACCTTCTTTCTCGTTCTCTGAGTCAATATTACTTTATTTACAGCTTACCTTGCGAAATCTCTGTGAAGGTATTCAGTTGTGACCCTCGGACGCCAGTATAGGGATTTAGGACGATCCCTTGTCGCAAGGGTACATAGAGTAGACGGATTTGCAATAATATGCCCAGCACACGAAACCGTGGAAGAAACAGTGAGCTACTCTCGGCTAAACTCATAGAAGTTGGTCTTCTAAAAAGACGAGACTACAGTGGTGTCAGTGTTTGCCGTAGTACCAAGAACAAGATCAAGAAATCTAGCCCTTCTAAGAAAGTAAAGCAGGAAAATGAAGACGAAAACATCATAKGTAAGAAAATGCAGGAATATTGTTTTGAAAGTTGTCCTAAAATTTTGACTTGAAATAGATGTTTATTCGTGATTTAATGATGACCTCCAGTTAAAGCCCCGTTTCGTCACTCTATATTCATGATGGAATCAGCGTAAGATGTTTTTCTGGGGAGTGTGTGATCATAAACTTATGTAACTCATGTTCAATGTGTGTGGGCCCCATTTGGTTGCAGCGCGCTGATAATTTCGATGACAGGGRAAAAAATCTTCAAATGCACATGAAAGTTCAAATGCGAGCTACTTAAAATCTAATTATCTGGGTAATTTATAAACATCTAAAAACATCGAAATTTGTACTGTAAAACTAAACTAGATAGGAAATAGGTTATTTTTCGTGCGAGACAATGATGTTGTTTGATGGTTTGGATCAAGGAAGATTATTAGGTTCGTTGATTCATTAATAAACATTTTGTCTTTTACTATAAATTAAAAAAATTATTACTCCCAAGAGTAATAGATTCGGATCTACGACTAACAGTCAAACTAAGGTTTTTTTTCATACAACAACAAACTATTCTCTTCGTTTCGGAGTTTTTCAAGTTTTCCTTGATGAAGTGTGGTGATCTATCAATGTTTTAATAAATGGCATGCGTAATTTATGTAACTTTATAGTTGGTAGCGATTGATTGACCTGGCCCTATTGTTGTTTCCCTTTCCGCTTCGTTACAAATGGGCCATTGAATGCGCTGATTGCTATCAGTAAGTGTGCCGGTGGCCAGCGCGCTCACTACTCTGCGTCATCATACCCGCGCGTACACTATACATCTATCTCACCAAGTGTGTATAGAACCGAAAATGCGGCTTCACAAGTCAAGGCGCAGCTCTAGAAAAAGAAACCTTAGTAAGTCACTTCAGTCACGCGCAGAATCGTTCAAAAATTTCCACATGGAAAAATTATTATTCTAGGTGTTGACATGTTTGATACGCGATAAACGTTCGTATTTTCATTCTGTCCGCTAGTCGCTGAAAGAGAGATGAAAGAAGCGAAGACAAGGGTTCTTCCCATCAATGGAGTTCTCTCAAAATCCAAGAAAGAGCAACTAACTCTAACACTCGAATGGTAAGTGATGGAATATTATTTTTCTCATCCTTGGTTCGTGCACTGTTAAAGGTAAACACAGGGGTCAAAGAAGCTTCGTAATTAAGGTTATTATTGCGAGCTCTCGCCGTTTTACTCTGCATCTTCTTTTTTAGGGTTTTGTTTTTGGAGCTTTTAGTGCAATTTGGCGTACAGTTGTTGTTCAAAACAAAGGGGCAATTTACAAGTGCTTAGCTTCACTAACTTCTGGTTTTCTCTTAAAACTGCATAACTCTGCATATTATACTCTCTTATCTTCACAATCTTTATTGACAAAATAAGTAGATGATGCAAAATCCTCCCGCGTAAGAAAATTGAAAACTTAAGAAAACTGCATGTGTCGAAAAATGAAAACTTTGAAAAATCTGGGAGTTTCAGTCGATTCTGCAAACGCGTTAGTTTTGGAACTTTAATGAACGATAATTTCGTAACTGTATAAGCATTGCGCGTAAAGAGCGTTTGATTTTGATTTTAAGTTYCATATCGTCCAATATCTATCGCAGAGGGCACAGTTAAATATTTCAGTTSAAGGGTCTAATCGGCTTATGCTATCGATCCATCCTAAGGGCAAGGGGCTGTTTTGAGGTAACTATAATAGCTAGAGTCTTTTGCAGTACGAATTGCTACCAAATTAAGGAGTTTTTATGATGTTTTTTGTTGCGGAAATAGCGCGGGAAAATGACTAGGAGTCCAATTATAAGTTTATTTAAACTTCTCCACAGACAAAAGGCGTCCTTTTTTCGGCTTCTCTTTACTTCACACTTCGTGCTTACTCATTATGCTTTACCCCTAGATGACGAGGTGCGACCAACCCGAGTCAGCCCTCTCTTTAGCCTGCAAAGTGCCGCTACACAGGCTACCCTCTCTTTACACTGTTGCTATTTCGGTCCGTCTTTGCAAACGCAATGTTGTTTGTGTCAACCGTGTCAACGAACCCTAGCTCTAAAATAAATGAATTTCCCTAAGCTTGGACAAGTAGACATTAGGTCAACAAAGATTTCAAAGCTTATTCGACCAATCAACCAATGACGTACGCTGGAATAATGCATAACCATAGTTGACCTAAAAACAGGTTTCGCGACGTAAAACTTGAGATTGGTATTTTAAAGACGTTGGATAATTGATTGTTTCTTTCCCTGACGAAACATTGACGTAAAGAAAAATGGATAGTTTCTGAATTCCAAGCCTCCGATTTCTGAATTCACTGTACTGTGTATTTTGCAAGCCACTCTTTTTGATGAAGTGTACTTTGTAACATGAAGGCGTTTCCGGTTGAAATGAAAGGACTTGTCCGCTTTGCTGTCTTTCACAAACTATTTGTAAGAGTGACTGAACTTTGAGGAGTTTTGTTTGCTTTTGAAACACGCACATTTTTAAGTGGAATTTGAGTGAATTTAGACGTGATAACGAATGGCAAATGTAGCAATGTTAGCGACGTCTAAAAGAAAAACTAACGCAAATCTTCGAAAGGGYATAGTTAATAGAGCAATATAGTTATTAACTATGGAAAGACAGAGTCTTTTTGCAATCCCTTTTGCTCCAAGGTCTATCGAAACCTGGATTATTATGTTAAAATTACACGTATCTTTTGTTTTTGCTTGATTAAAAACTTCTACGAAACCTTCTCTTTTCTATTAAAAATACTACTAACTTTTTTACCGATTTCGATGATAAAATTAATGGGCCTCCCCAACTATGTTGCATAATGTCTTCCAAACTCATAATGTATCTCGGAAAAGTCCAGCTTTGCTTATAAAAATTAATGCGTTTCAAATTGCACGCATTAGTTTTCCTTCAACAAATTTGTTGCTGTCAAACCGAGTTATAGTTCCTATGATAGTTTGCGCATCTGCTCGTAAGAACTCGCTCTATTCTGTTCCTCATTGTTTGTTTATCGTTCCTATTTGTGCGTATGCACAATTGCAATCGTTTCTTTAGGCAAACCAAAATGCTTTCCTGATTTTAAGCTTTCGTTTTGCTTGTAGTTTGGAGGTATTGTCGTTATTTTAACATTAATACATTACGGTAAATACTTTTATAAATAGCGCATAACCAGTTGAGCTCGAATAGGATTACACGAAAAAGTCCTTATCACTCGCTTCAACAAGTCTTTCATTTCCTCAGAAAATTCTTCCCGGCGCGCGCTCAACCACCATCATTTATTTCCCATAAACACATTAAGCTGTCTAAGCTCTTCACAGGATTTAGTTCTCACCCTCTTGCATGAACGTCGACGTTTCTTGTTTGATATTGGAAAACCAACTTGATCCCTTTATTTGTTGTTTTTGTTTGGTCGCGGAAGTGTCACTATTCCTTGCGATTGTTTCTGCTCTTTTGTTTAAGTTTTCAAGGCTTTAGTTTCGCGTCTTTTTATAGTCGCTATTAAAAAGACGTTTTAGCTAAAATAACTCTAAGCTTCTTTATTTGCAGAATAGATTCGCTCGGTCATTAGTGAATTAGTGCGCTATTTTGGGTGCCTGCGCTATTGGATTTTAAACAAATAATTTGATGCAAACTTTTCTGTCTTTATTTTACGCTATGCAGTTTTTATTTGATGCTAGTAGTGCTGGTAGGGGTTTGAGGTAATGCGGTTTGAATTTTAAAAATTTWAAAAATTTAAAAATGGGAACCAAGAGTGACGTACCGGTAGTGTACACTTGCCTGTTATCTCTGGGGCTCTCGACATCCCGTGTGAGCAGAGATTGTTTCAGGGTTGGATCTGTGAGTTAGCTGTGCCCTGACTTAGATCAGCCCAGAGGTTGTTTCAGGGTTCGATCTATGAGTTAGCCATGCTCTGACTTATAGATCAGCCSAGAGGTTGTTTCAGGGTTCCATAAAGTTTGAAGCTTTGAAGATTTTGACCATAGCTCAAATAGTCATGTACTATTTAGTACACTTTACGAAACTGTAGTTTAGGATTATCGAAATTTGAAATGGTTCCGGGGACGGCCCTCTTTAATGCGGCCAAATTAACTYCGTAGCACGACCACTTCCTAAGAATGAACTGCGTCTTTCCTGAAGTATTGAATTTTAGTAATTGGTTTTTCATATGGTAGCAAACAAATCAATAATGTACAAATCAATAATGTAGCTTCTCCTAAATAGTTCTTGTTCTATAAGAGTAGCACTATAGCCAGTTGCTATCAAACCTGTGGTCTTCATTCCATGAATTTAAAAATTGATTTTCGCGAAGGAAGGAAAACTTGAGAACCCAGGAAAAAAACACAGGAGAGAACCAACAAACAACTCTACTCACACAGGATGACGAGTCCGAGAATCTAACCGGCAGCAGTGAGAGGCAGCGCTGCATCAGCACATGCTTGTTTTCCTTGATTATTATATCTTTCTCTACCAGAGGAAACGAAAAAAACTTTAGTATGATCGTAATTCAGATAAGGATGATTTTTCTTGCTTAACGTCTTAAAATGGAAAGAAAAATTACGCCCAAGCTAAAGAGGTCTATTTTACCCCCTAGTGCTTGCTTGCGTTATGTCTGTAGTTGAAAGTAAGAACTTCTTTGCCTCTTAAAGAGAGATCGATTTTCAAGGAAGTTGGATACATAATGAATACATCCGATGACTAATCGATCAAAGGAAGTACTCTAGTTCAGGGTTCATCGTGACGTGCTTGCGGTTAGCATCGAGGGGTTACTGCGGGATATCCGAGGTTTTTCAACGTGTGTAGGCATTCTTCAGTTTGTTTTGTTTTGCTGATAACAAAGGCGCGAGGTTTTCGTTCGTGTTACCGCATAACGTAGTCTTTGTACAGAGCTCTTCCGTCTACCATTTCAAGCTTTTCCTAGTTTTTTTCCGTTAAGAAGGCTTCAATTACGCTTAAACACGGTCTTAGCAATGAACAGAACACGAAAGAAAGATAGATGAAAAAGTCTCAAATCTTTCAAAACATTTCTTAAAAATCTCTCCCGTCTCCCATTTCAAGCCTTACCTCGAATTTTTTTTAATGTACCAATTGCTAAAACTCGTCCTAGATAACTACAGAACACGAAAGAAAGGTAGATGAAAAAAAACTCTCGAATATTCCAAACGTCTTCGAAAAAAGGGATAAATTTACTGTGATTTATTAGCAAGAAAACCAAGCTTGGGATCGATTCCAATGGTTTAATGCCATTTCTTTTAGCATCATCAAACAAGGAGATGATATGCACAAACGTTTTTTTTACCCAAAGTAAAATGGTCTGTACTTCGTAGAACGCTGAGCTCTCTTCCGTTTGCCTACATTTTCAAATTCTACCTATTAATATTCTACCTATTTAAATTCTACCAATTTACCTAAGATGACCTAAGATATCGTAATCAAAGAGATGCCACGCAGACTGAAATATAGGACAACCCCCCTCCCCCTCCCCCCGGGGACAAAAACTGAGCTAAATCTTCTTGAAGGCTCTTCATAATAATTTAGGATTTATATAGCGTACTTTCTATGTAGATATTGATTAGAAATTCCTATTGGCTCGTTTTTTCGTGCCTTCCTTCTCTAACCAGTTTCACCGCGTGTCTCCTAACACAAAGCCCTCTAAGTCCTTTTTGTCATTTGTCAAGGGGAGTTCTTTACTAAATCACAACTGATATACTGGATTACTAAACACAAATATCAATTAATCCACAAATAAGCGTACTAATCCAAAAACGAGTGCGTTTCTTACATTCGTTCTTCATACTGTCGAGATCTTCAAATCCTGGTTCAACTATAATCCATGTATGACTTCATCAATACTTGCATTYCTATTGTGGTTTTAAGGGTTCAATATATCAACAGCTAGCCTCTAAAATCACGCACAATTACGGCTTCGCATCAACGTCTTCAATGTTTTTAGAATCCCCAAAATTTTGCGACAGGTTTCGCGGCGATCCCTTGAGAATATTTTCGCAAAGCTTTGAAAAATCAATTTTTTAAAATTTTAGTTAATTGTCTTGTAAAATTGATTTAATATATGAACTTATTTTTTTAATTTATATCATGCCGAGCGCACGATTTTATTTGGACTTCATGTTCAATATTTCAAAAAAGAAAATTTGCTCAAATGAGATTCAATTTTTTGCATTTCGCGATTCGAATTGGGCTAGCTTGGCCCGCACGGCAGGGTAACGGAGAGAAAGAGAAGGAGAAAGAAAAACGTTCTTTAGCTTGTCAGTTTTATTAAATCTYATTCACGTACACGAATATGTATTGAATCAATTTTAAGCATTTTCCAAAGGTTTGGTCGTGAGTGCAAGATACATCTGTCATTTTATTAGAGTACGTACCATAAATCCGTGAAAACCTTTGTGTAAGAAATTGTATGAATTTGAACGGCAGTTTAGTAAGTTCAGTAGACCTCAGTATAGACAGTAGACCTACAAAACCGTTTGTACTAATTTGTACAATTTTGTTGTAGTTAGCTTTTTTATGGATATATGCTATTCATTCTATCATTTTTTGGTTGTAATCAACCTATTCAGCTATTTTATCATATAAATTCCGAAGTGTATTAATTCTGTATTCAATAGATTTTTAAACTCGATCTTGAATTTCAGTGGATTACGAGATAATCCCGTTCACAGATATTTTATAAATCAACTGTCACGAGTCTCTTAGAAACTCATCTTGAGTTATATCTTCGTTAGCCATATCTGTCGTCTTACGTAGGATAGGAAATTGCATGATTTGCTAAAAGAATTTGTGAAGCTCTTGAGACACGTTTGAATATCTATTTTCCAGCCATCAATCTAGCAGTTACGTTTCTATATTTTGCTGTATATTTTTGCTTTTATTTCTTTGATTTGCCGTGCTTATTGTTGTCGATTTGTGTTACCATTTAATACCACATGCTATTCCCTTGAGTATTATTTCTTTTATATACCCTTTTACCTTGGGTGTAATGTTTTTTTGTGGCATTTCAGACCACATGTCATTCCCTTGAGTATTATTTCTTTTGTAGACCCTTTTACTTTGGACATAATATTTTCCCAATTCAGACCACGTATYATTCCCTTGAGTATTATTTCTCTCCTCCCTCCCTTCCTGAAAACCCAATGGCGAAATAATAGGTCCAAAAAATGCTTTATTAACTATTTTTAATGTCTAGTTTGATGCATGATTCCTTTCTCAGGTTAGAAGAGAACTATGTCATGTGTGAAGGAGTCTGTCTTCCTCGTTGTATCCTGTACGCCCATTACTTAGACTTCTGCAGAAAAAATCAAATAGAAGCGGCTTGTGCAGCTACGTTTGGAAAGGTCAGTTCTCTTAAATAACTTTGTTCTTGACGTCCTTTTCTGCCCTCCGTAACACCCATCTCTTTACTCAGCCCGGCTCTCAGCCCTTGTTAAGAAGAGGATGTAAGGGTAATTTCTTCTTGCGAGGCATCTTTAAACATGAGCATGCAAGTCATTAACCATGTACGCTGATTCAGCATATAGCGCCCTTTCCACTGGTATACTCAAAGGCGCTTACAAACATGAGAGGTGGTTAGTATGATATGCAGGCACTGAGGGTGGTGACTGCCAGGGTTTCTTTACTTCTTCAGTGCGGGTTCTTTAACGTCCCTCCGAAATTGGTTAGTGATGACTCTTAGGATTTTTGGTGAGCTTTTCGTTTTTCGTCCTTGCTACAGACAGTATAAGGCCACACCCTAAAATCCCGGGCGCTGGCGCTAAGATAGACCTGCTTTTCTTCACAGCGGAGCTGTTGGTTAATATAATTACGGTTGTATGAATGATAAAACTTTGAATATCTTAAGATATGTATTTTCGCTCATAACTATGTATATCTATTTTGCCAAAGCAGTCTGGTAACCTAGGAACAGCAAAAATAACTTTGCAAGCCTTTGATTCCATTACGCCACCATTGACGCAGACGCAACAACGTGTGATGGAATTTTCAAGACTTTAAAGTCATTCTAATCTCTTTCTTCGCTTCTAATTTGATGCTTGACTGTTGTATTCAATAAGACACGTTATTTTTCTTGCTTTAATCCTAGTGTTGCCGCTCTGCTAAAGTTTTTATATGGCTTGTTTTCTTAAGACTTATCTGGCGATTTTAAAGCATCGCTGTAAAGCCCTCTGTCAACTTTATAGCCAGCTTGAATCAGTCACGGGAAACAAGGCTATTATTATCCAAAATTATTCACGACAACTCTTTATTTTTATACTCAATATTTCATTTCTATTTTTCAATAGACAATTCGGCAAAAGTTTCCACAACTTACGACGAGAAGGTTGGGCACTAGAGGACATTCAAAGTAAGTGCAGTGTCTTTTTATGAACTGCTTTGTTTGTCAAAACGTTTTTTTTTTTTATCATGTAAATGAAGTATTGTGTTCATTAATTAACTTTTATACTTGGTTAGTGTAGATGCCGCCTTTGAAGTGGATAATGCGAGGGRAAAAAATAAATCGATTCTAAAATCACCGAATCTTGTTTTCTAGATATCATTACTATGGGATTGGAATTAAGGAATCGTCGGCTTATTACCATTCGGTGTATTCAGGAAAAGGTCTCACACGGTAAGGACAAATTCGAGGATCAAGGTATTCCGAGACCTCCCACACAATCCCCTATACCCATTTATTAAGAGACTTAGCTTGACATTTTCAAATACACGGATCTAAGAGCATACTTAAGGCTTTCACTTTGAGGTCTATTGTTTAAAGCTGTTTTCATCCCAGCTTGTTAAACAGAATGATTTGATAGAAACTGTTGACACAAAAGACAATTGGAAAAACCTTCACTTTGTTTTTAAGACTTTTTTCTTCTTCACCTTTTTGAAATATTTAAGGATTTTATTAGGATACATTTGAGCTTATTTTTACCCTATTTCTATATTCTATCATTTTATGAAATATTGAGGGATCTTATTAGGATACATTTTAGGCTTATTTTTAACCGTCCTTCATGCATTCTATAATTTTTTAATCGTGTTGCTACGTCATACACTAGAAAAGACACTTTTTCTCTCGTTAAAAGAGGAAAAACGTTCCAACAAAGTTTTTCAACTGTTTTGTTTTATGTTTTGGTTTTCGTATATTAAAAAGCCTTTATGCTGTGTTTGTTTTTGAGCTCGTTGTTCTTTYGTTTTCAGTTATTGCTTGACTTTATGAAAAAAATACTTTGAATAACTTCGCTTTAAACAGTGAGCCCCGTTTCCGGTCTGCAGCAGGTTTATTTGTCTTTTGAATACAAAAGAGATTTTTGGGAGAAAATGCACTTGAAATCAAATGAAGGCTAGAATAATTATTTGATTAAACATCAGCTTATTCAGTTTTTGTCTTTGGTCGTTCTCATCATTTTGTTTTGGCAATATTAGGACTATTTTACAAACTTTTCTTCCTATCTTGCTGTTGYTGTTGTTGTTATTGTTGCTGCACCATCAAGTATGTTTTTCTCTGTTGCCCCAGCCTTTCGTATTTTAAATGACTTCCAGTTTTAAAAGATTCAAAAGTTATCATCTCAAAGCATCGTCAAGATTTCAATTTTTTCTTGTTTCGTTCAGAGTTCACCCACAAAAAGGGAATAGACTTTTAAATAAACAAAAATCAGCTCTTAATAAAAAAAACTGTAAGCAAACAACAACGTCGTCTTTTGTCATCATTGTGAATGTAATTTTTAGAACAGGCTTGTAGGAATTGCCACCCATCTTGTCAAGCTTTTCTTTTTATTATATCAAAAAACCCACATTCTTCAAAACTTCGCTTCGGAATTTCAACTTTACCTTAGTTTTCAAAATAAAACAAACATCGTTTGAAAAACTAGTCTTAAAAATATTTGCCACGACTTGCTGGGCTGAATCTTTGACGAAAAGTTCGTGCAACAGAAAGGTTACATAAGTGTTTTTTCCGAGTACTGAGTTTGTTTTGCAAATGGTTTGTCATTATTTTCTAACTCAGCGTAGGTCCGTCCCTTACCTACAATCAATATTTCATTGTTTAAAGACAGTTTGTCTTTCTTTATGACCTTCAATTCCCTTCAAACAGTGGGTTAAGTGGGTTGGTACATTGATGGTGACTCATTCCAAACGAAAAGTTCTATAGCTATAACTAGATCTAAAACAGTTCGTTCAGGGTCAAATAAACAACAAAATCCAAACRATTTATCTCCAATAATCTGTATACTTTGTGTCATAAAAACATTGATTATTTTTTGGGGATCGATGTTTTTCCTTCGCGGTTGAACCCGATGCAACGATACGTGTGCGTGCGCGCTCATTTTCCCGCCATTTTTCTCGTTCACATTTTCCCTTTATTTTTAATCTTATTTTCCAAATTATTTTTCATTATATTGTCAAAACTTATTGTTATGCTTCATCATTRATTTTTCTGTTTTGTTTTTGTAGGTTCTCAGGTTCAAAAACGACAAACGAGGTAAGAAACAATCGAGTATTTWTTGCTTGTTTTCTATTCTTTCCGAGTTTCACCATGTTTATTCTTCTTTATGCCTTGTTGTTTGTAGGGATCGTTTGCAACTCGAAAGTACTCCCTCAGCTCCAAAACTGGAACACTTTTACCCGACTTCCCCAACCCTTTGTTGCTTGAGCTCCCCGAAGACATTTCTTTAGATAAGGTAAAAAATATAATTTTTATTTTATTCATGAGAAATGTTTTAAACAAARTTTCTTGTATGAGAAAGTACATTACTGTGAATTTGAAATGGTTTCGACTTAGAGCCAATCAAAGCGCACGAAACTGCACAATGTCCAAACACGTGAACAGCGCTTGAACGGCTTTGGAAGCCATGTGTGTAATGTTACTGTTGTTTTCCAYGCAACACCATTCTACCTGTTTGAAATTAAGAAAGGAAGGAAGAAACAAAATAAAGAAGAAARCGAAAAGAATGAAAGAAAACATTGGCTTGACATGAGAAACTTTTTGAAACTTTTCTCGATTATTGCTCATATTTTGCAATGTTTACTAGCTGTTTCTCTCAGATATCCACTTAACGTTCCATCGTGTTTAACTAGGTCCAAACGTTTGTCGTTATGTACAAGACCCACTGTCAGTGCATACTGGATACTGCAATTAATGCAAACTTTGATGAGGTAAGAGATAAGGARACAGCCGAGTAAAATAACTGATAATCTGCTTACAGTTTATAAGCCGATTATGTACTTAAAATCATTTGAAAACACGTTCACGGATTAGGAAATCTTATGAAGATAGTCAACAAAGATGCAATGGTATCGATATCAATTTGCATTGAAACGAGTTCACTATATCTAACATTTTATTTAATTACACTGAAACTTTAAATAAGCCAGATGGAGTTTGCGAAAAGATTAACTTTTGAGAATAAACCCAGATTTTCAAAGATTTTTGAGTAAAAAAATATAAAACATCGTAGGATAACAACTTAATTAAATGCTAGCCCCGCAAGCCTCAAACTGCAGTTCGACGTCAGGCGTTATCCGTCAATCTTTCAATATTCAACATGGCGTCATAACGAAGTTATTGCTGGAAGAGCCGCCATATTGAATTTCATTTATGTTGAGTGTTTCTCCGTGTTTGCGGGCGTGTTTCTAAGAGTGATTCCTAGCAGTTAGCCAAAACCCTGATGCTGGAGATATCTATTAATCAATCATTTCCCTCAGTATGCAGTGGCG